TGCAGCGGTTACCAAAATTCATATCGATGACCACCAATACCAAAGCCAGTAGCGAGGTCAGGACAATATCCTGATACCAGCGCCAGGCGGCAGACAGCCGGAATGTCAGGGCTGACAACAATACCTACCTAGGGAGATATCACCTGGACAGGCCTATCACTACCGCGTCTAGTCCAGCCCATATTACCCTTCCAAGGTTAATATTTAAGCACACAGGCTATCGTTTCTACAAAGTAGAAGTGGGATAGATGGTACCGTGTTTTCACTACCACGAAGCCCTGCAGGCTACATCGCAATTGCGCAGGCAGCAGCGAAATATCACACCCGCAATTCAGCGCGACTGACGACCCGCAACTTCCTACAAACCCCGTCCTTGGTTCCGCTCCCATTAACGTCTTCAACTCTTGCCAACGAAGCCCAATCCATTACCATGGTAGTCAACCCGCTCTTAACACAGCCGATGTCCTATGAACCCATCGAAACCCGCCTTGCCGCCATGCGCGCTGCTCTATCCGAAGGCTTCTCTCCGAACGAACTCGACAAGCGCCCCCGCGGTGTAGGCCGCCCGCTAGACTGTGCAATCGAAGATGGCTGGCCCGCCGACTTTGCCCATCTCAAGCAAAATCTCCCTATCGTCCATCTGCTCCTCGAAGCCGGGGCTGATCCCAGACTTCCTTCTCGGGATCCGCCCGGTCGCTCGCCAATTGATTCCCTAGAGGCCTGGTTCAAGCAGTATGAGATCAGAGGGCACGAATTCGGTGCTGAGCATCTAGAGCTGAAGCCGTTCTTTGAGAAGGCTTTAGAAGCTATGAGAAAAGTTGCTGAAGAGCTTGATGGTGAGTTTGCGTTGACATAGTGTTGTGTATGTCTCTTGTTCGTTGGATAGCTAAAGTGCGATTAGCAAAAGACGCCGCTGAAGCAGCTAGAAAAGCTCGTAGAGAGAGACCGTTGTTTGGTAAGCTGAAGTTTTGGTGACGCGATCGATGTAGCTGCAAGAGGTGGTAACAATGCGATTGCGCGTTTAGCCTGCGGAACTGGCTTAGCTCTTTGCTTATAAGGCGGCGCTGCGAGTTACCTGATGGCGTTAGCATGATCCAGAGCACGTCTGTTGGGTGGTCAGTAAACAGTATGCAATATATTGTACCTGTCTCACCTCTCTGAGGCCGTCTCATGACAGATGTGCGAAGACCGAAAAGAAGAGATTGGAGAGAAGACTACACAAGGGTGGCATAAGAACGTATCGCAAAAAACACCGATTGAGATGGATGTTCTCCGTCTGATGCTGACGCTTCAATCAATTAGATAAGGTAGTCAAGTATCTCAATATACACATTGAAAGTAAATATATGGCTGCTCTCCGCTACACTACCCCTGCTGCGAGAATAGTATTCATGATACAGAAAACGCCACCAGCATGTCAGCGCCAATGCCGGTAATCGCGCCGAACTTCTCCTCTAGTGAAATCTTGGAAAATAATGATAGTGTACACGGCCATATCATCCGATCAATCCTCGATATCATCATCACTCAACGTGAGACTAGCACCTTTGTCCGCTAAGCCAGCAATCGCTGTTTCCGGCTCTTGTGCCTTACTCTCAAACTTCACGCGTCCTCTCTTCTTCGGCGTCTCCAGAGTCGGTTTATCCGTAGACCACTGCTCTTGCTCGCCAGGGCGAATGTCTTCTTCAGCGTCATCTTCTTCAGTAGCACCGGAGAGAGCGTTTCCGGTGAAGGCTGTGATCTTCCGGATTTCGCGCACGGTGGCTGCTGTGGATGGGTTCGGCATGCGTGATTTCCGCAAGATGGTGGTCATGTAAGGGAGACGTTCTAAAAGCATTTCGTTCCGCGCCGAGCCACCGCTTCCAAGGTGAATTGAAGCTGGCGCATCTTCTTCGGCATCTTTCCAGCCGGATGCCGATGTGGGCTGTGAGAAGGAAGCGTTGCCTTTCCACGACTCGACTCCTCCGCTTGGGAAAGCCGCTTTCGATGTAGTTGACCCTGTTGAAAAGAGCTCACCACGCTGCGCCTTTGATACCCACATCTCCAGTGAACCCTCAATCTCCTCCTGTTGTTTCCATATACGCAGCGACGCCGGATAGTACATGACAAACGCGTTGCCTTTTGCCGCTCCACCACTTGCTCCTTGACCTTTCGCTTTGATGCCCATGATGCCTGGAGGCGGTGCAACGCGCTTGACGGGATATGGCAGGTTATACAGAAGCCCTCGTACACTCGTCTGAAAGCACATCTCGTCTTGGCGTAGATTGTCCGCACTAGTTCCTTGAAGGACCCGTCTGCCAGCGCCCGCACCAAAGCGGTCCGGCGATAGAAGGTCCGCATCAGAAAGAGCTTCTATACACCCCTCGATGGAATCCATAGTTTCCTCGCTATCCGCAGCTCCACAGGACAGGACGTAGTTCTCATGTAGAGCAGCGACAAAGGTTTGGGTATCGGTACCTAGCTCATCGATGAGTGTGTCGACATTGACCTCCGAGGCCTTCGGTCTTCGCCTTTCGGGAAACCAATTCGGTGGATGTGCCACGGGTGTGTTTGGGTCTTCCGGTAGACGCTTGTTGTACACAACCCTCCCAACAGCATGGAAGATGCCGAGAGTGCTTTCGCGCTGCGTCACCATTTCGAGCGATTCCTGCTCGATCTTCGTCATCGGGATGTCTTTCGGGCCCTTCTTCTTCGTAAGGTTGACCTTCGCGCCCCAGCCTTCCGCATCATCACCTCGCAGGCAGAGGAACTCGAGGGAGGAGACAGCGCTGCGAATGTCTCCAAGTTCTGCAAGACGCTGAATTGCCTGTGGCCCTAGAGTCTTCTTGCGCCCGGATTTGCGCGCCTCCTTGACAACAATTGTTTCTAGCGCCTTTGTCATGTATGTGGGGGCGATTGGGTTGAACTCGAGGACAGACACTCCGGGATGGGTCAGGATCTCAGGGCCTAACAGCCGATGTGCAGTGAAGCTGTCGGCTGCCGCGGTGTTGGTGGACAGCAGGGTCTCGGATATTATCATTACGATTGGGGTCACTGGCTGCTCGGGATCGACCTGGGTCGAAAAGAAAGCAGTAGCTGATTGCGTATTGGCAGCAAGATAGTTGAGGACGGAAGAGCGAAAAGATTGAACGGCCGAAGAAGTACGTGTGAATGTATTCGGAAACTCCTCTACTAGGACCAGCTGCTTCTGCCTTTCAGTCTGACTGTTGGACGAAGCCGTCTGGGCACTCATTGTCGGCTCATCGAAGGCCAGACTACCAAAGGCTCCAGTCCTTCCAACGAATTCTTCGAACTGTGCAGTAGCAGACACAAAGCTGTCGGAGGTCGACATGGAACCTATAGGGTTCTTCCATTCATGCATGTGGATGCCCAGTTCCTTGGACAGCAGGGACATGGTGGTGGTCTTCCCACTGCCAGCAGGGCCTTTGAGCAGCAGCAATCGCTTGCGTGCCTTGCCGCTGAAGACGTCTGTGAGCCATGTCCGCACGTCCGCCACCTTCCTCTTATGCACAGCGAGCTCATCGAGCGACACTGGGCCGTACTTTTCAGTCCACGGCCGCCGGTCTTCTGTATCCTGCCGCGCTGGCTGGGACGATATCGGTGTGGTGGATAGCGGTGTTGTACTACGCGCTCCGCTCGCTGTTCGCAGGAACTTCTGCCTGTTGCTCACAGCATTGGCAGGGTCCGTTGGCGCTGTCGCAGCGATCGGTCTCTTGCGAACGGGGAGGGGCTTCGGGGGCTTGATGGACGGCGCATCGTCTGAGGAATCAAAGATATCGTCTACATCTTCAATTGACAGGGCCGGTTTCTCGGGGCTCGGCGTGGGGTGTAGCGACTGCGAGCGCGGTATATTACTGAAGAAAGAAGTGATAGGCTTGGATGCTGGCTTTGCTTTAGCCGGCGATTTGGCTGGAGACTGCTTAGTAGGAACTGCTCGCGATCGCGTGGGCGAGGCTGCACGTGTCTTGGATCGGGTAGCCTTCTTTTCTCCATGCGCCCCAGTCGCGACGCCTGTTAGTGTGCCCCTCTTGGGACGCGCGGGAGGCGGTGTATGTGAATCATCCGCCTCAGACTCGGATGAGACGACGATCGGCTTTTTGCGCGTGGCCCGAAGCTTAGCCATGCCGCCCCCGTTTGATGGACCTGGAGAGCACTCGAACGCAGAGTGACATGCTCAGTGCTAGGCCGGTTGGGGGTGCAGAGCGCGTGATGGGAGTCCAGCAGCCGTGTCGAGGCTGCGTCGCGTCGGAGCGCGGAGGAAGTTCCACGGGCCCAAGCGCGCTAGGCACAGTGGGGCCAAGAGCTGCTAAGGCTGTTGACAACGCACCTCTTTTCTGCATCTTCACACACACCGCTGCTCTTTTCCCGCTAGCACCCGCTGTAGTGCGCTCCTTTCGAGGCTCATATGCAGCTAACTTGTCCAACCGGAGACCGCCACAACGCCCTCCCTGCCACTGCTGCATGAGGTTCAATTTTCGAGCCCCAGCGGCGTCATCGCGTGCATATCGGCTCGTTGAATCGCTGTGCGGCAGTAAACATCAACAAAGAATTTGGTCCATGGCCTGTGGCCGGTCCACTGTCGCTGGCCGCCATCGTCGTACAGAGTGAGCAGCGCAGCAAGACCATATATACGTAATTGTACCAGACCCGCGAAGTCGCATGCGATGGCTGGTAACGCAACGCTCGGGGCATATAAATTAGACCGCTCGAGTCTACGATGAGCTGGCACTTCCCTGCCAATCTCCCATTGGGCGGGAAGGCGTTTGCAGCTTGTACTATCCTCTTCCATTCTTTTCACTGCCGCATTCCTTATATGCTGATTTCGCGCGTGCTCGTTGTTTTTTGACATGTTCCCCGTCGTCATGCTCCGTTAACAGGCGCCTTTTTAATTTTTGCGAGTATCTGAGCTCAACGTGAGAAGCGCAAACTCCAGCGCAGGATTCGGGAGTTCTTGTTGCCTTTAACGCTATTTACAAGAACTATCACGTTTGGCGGCCGTTATGGCAAAGAAGAAGAAAAGCAGCAAGAAACCGGTGGAGCCCGTTGCTCCACCTGACAACGTGCCAACGAATGCTGCGGAACCAATTCCTGATGCGCCTGAAGCTCCATTGACAGCAGAGGAATCAGCCACAGAAGCAGAGTCCGGGGAGCAGTCCATGCCAACCGCTTCCGAAGTGGAGCCCGACGAGGGTACGGTTCCCACGCTGGTGGACGAGTCCACATCTGCACCCTCACAACACCCTGAGACCATAGAGACTATACCAGACGAGGCTGCAGAGGCACCGGCCACTGAGATCATACCCGCTGCAGAGCTAGATCCACCTATGGGGGAAGAGCAGGAATCTGGGTCGCCAGCGGATACTACCGAGGCCGTGGAGTCAGAGATTGCCGGGCAAAGCGCTGAAGACATGCATCATACTACAGCAGAAGATGAAGAGTCATCGGTTATTTGGGTTGGAGACGCGCACGACCCAGAACCCGATGCAGAGCAGCAAAATACTCCGGAGGAACAGCAGCCCCTACAACTAGACGAAGAGTCCACACCCCAGCCAGACCCTCTTCCAACTCAAGATTCTATTGAACCAGCAGACACGCCGGTTGAAGACACACTCCCGCCACAAGAATCTACAGCGGAGCTAGCGCCTGAAGCAGAACCTGAAGTAATTACTCCCACCGCGGAAGAAGCTATCGAACCGATAGACCAGATGGATGGCGGTCTTAATGAGAACGGAGCTGAGCAAGATCTGGCGGAGACAGTCGAGGTACCAGAGGCACCAGGGGCACCAGAGGTAATGGAAGCACCTGAAGTACCAGAGGCGCCGGAAGTGCCAGAGGCACCCGAAGCTCCAGACACACCCACAGTACCAGAAGCTCCAGAGGCTCCAGAGGCACCTGAAGTGCCAGAATTACTAGAGGTACCTGAAGCTCCCGAAGCTCCCGAAGCTACCGAAGCGCCGGAAGCACCAGAGGTATCGCAACCGCCAGAAGCTGTCGAAGCGCCAGAAGTACCAGACGCACCCGAAGCACCCGAAGCACCAGGGGTACCAGAGGAACGAGAAGTCCTAGAAGCGCCAGAGGCTCCCGAAGTACCTGAGGTACCAGAAGCGCCTGAAGTACCAGAAGCACCGGAAGTACCAGAAGCGCCAGAAGCGCCAGAGGCCCCCGCTGCACCTCTGGCTCCATCAGTGGTGTCAGTTGGGAGTGATGAGGACGACATCATTGAAGCTTTTACAGTCGAGGATCTATCAGCACCGGAACCAGAGCCTGAGGCCCTTCCAATAGCAGTCGAACGGTCGGTGGAGGTCGGGCTACCAGATGCGCCTGTCGAAGGAATATCAGCACCAGAAGCCCATGAGACAATCACACAACCTGAGTCTATTCCCGAGACTTCGTCTACAGATGCCCACATTGAGCCGATAGAAGAGCTCGTCGTAGCTGCCCAAGACGAAGTACCAAGACAGCATGCCGACCAAGAGCAAGAGCGGCTTGAGGCCGAAGCAGCGGCCGCTGCTGAGGCTCAACAATCCGCCGCGCTAGCGCAGGCCGCCCAATTCCAGGAAGACGCACAGCGAGAAGAACTGAAGAGATTAGAGCAAGAAGCGATCGAGCACGAGAGGTTAGCGAAGGAGGCCGAGACCAACAGACTACTGGAGGAGCGACGCGCAAGAGAGGCCCAAGAAGAGCTGGAAGCTGCCGAAGCCGTGAAACGGGCTCTAGAAACCATGAGAGCCAAGAAGGAAGAGCAGCATAAGGAGACCGAGAGGCTCGAACAAGAGCGACTGGCCCGTGAAAGGCTCGAGCAAGAGAAGTTAGAGCAGATTGTCGAAGCGAGGAAGCTTCTGGCATTAATGGAAGAAGAACGGAGGGCCGCAGAGATCCAACAAGAGGCCGAAGCCGCTGCAGTCGCCGAAAAGGCTCGGAAAGAGAAGGAAGAGGTCGAAGCTGCAGCTGCTGCCGAACGTGCTCGACAAGAGAAGGAAGAACTCCGGCAGGAACAATTACGACGTGAGAGAGCCGAAGAGGCTCGAATTGCTAGGAAAGCCCGAGCAGCTGCAGATGTCCTTGCGGAAGAGCAGAGAGAGGAAGCAGAACGGTTGGAACGGCTGGCCCAGGACGAGTCACGTGAGCAAGCCGAGATACCATTCATCGCACGTCGATCCATGATCGAATCAGCACGTGCTCCGTCACCTCCTTCGGGAGTACCTGACATGCACGATCGTTCTCCAGTCTCTGATCGACCATTTCGATCGTATCGATCTTTCGCGCCACATGCACCGAAGCTTAGAACACACGAAGCGGGTCCAAACCATGCACCGAAGCCTTATGCTGTGGCACAGCTCATTGAGGATAACAGACCTGCGGCCCCGAGCCCGCCAATGAGTAAAGCTCGACCAAGGTATGTGAATTCCATTTCTCAGTCCGGTGAGGTAGTCGCTCGGCGCTTCTTCGGCGGACCGTCAACCACGACGCCGGACCCAAAGCGAACATGCTCGAGATACATAAGGTTCCTGGCCGAACTCTGATGGATTACGATACTAACTACATGTTTCCCTCTAGACACGCTCCCACCTTTGACAGCGACGACGATTCAGATTCTGCTCTAGTACAAAACAGGATAGCGTCGAGGCGTCCATTTAGCGGTGAAGCGCATGAAGTGTCGCGGTCCCACTTAGGCCCACATCAACCACGTAGCGCTTTTGCATCCCGAGTGCCTGTTGAGCCCACCTATCCGGCCCCTCCACCAAATTATCATCCCAGCTACTATGCCCCGCCAGCCCAGCCGCCTCACCACTACCCAGATCATGCCTACGGCATGAGTCAGCAGGGTTATCCCGCGCCTAACCCCAATCCTTACGGCCCTTCGTCGCATTCTTCCTCCCCTCCCTACCAGGAATCATGGAGCCAATACCCACCCGGGTACCCTCCTTATGGCAGCCCACATCATCGACAGGACTCCTCTGGTTCTAGAGACCTTCATTCACATGTTTTAGCCAGTCGACCTGCAATCGAACACGTGTCTGGCGACGCACTCTCACATATCCCGCAGACTGATCTGCACGTTCTACTTGCGCATTACAAAGAGACTCACAACCAACTGCGTGCTAGGGAGGACCTGCTTCGTCGGCAAACTGCTGAGCAAGAGCAGAAACTCCGCGCAAAGGATGGTGAGATTGGTGAGCTGAAGCAGAAGATTCGCAACTTGGAAGACAGGCATTCAGCCGAGGCAACCAGACTACACTTTCAGATCGGGAATCTGGAAGAGCAAGTCAGAGAGCTCCGAGAGCTGATTGCTGAAACCAAGAAAGCTAGAAGAGACGCCGAAGAGACCAAGTTGGTACTGGATGCAGCCATGAGGTCGTGGGAGGACAGGTACAAAGAGCTGGAAGATGTGCATCGCACGCTCGAGAGGACCTCTGCCGAGGAGAGGGAAAGAGCATGGAGAGATTTCGACGAATGGAAGGAGGCCACGAACACGAAACACGATGCGGAGAAGATCGCCCTTGCTATCCAATTCGACAAGAAGCTGAAGCAAGCTGGGCAAGATGCTGCCGAGGCGGCTGAGCTCAGGGCTCAGCTCCAAGCAGCTCTTGACCGAGAGCAAGAACTCATCAGGGAGCGCGACGACCTTCAGAAGATGCGAGAAGACTCAGATCGCCGGGCTGGGGAAGAAGCAGCGAGAGCCGATCAACTGGCGAGAGAGAAGGATGAGCTGATGAACTCGTTCGACCAACTCAGAGCCGAGAGTCAGAGGGAGAAGGAGGTCATCAGAAGCGTTGCCAGCAACCTCGAGTCGGAGAAGTCTAGACTTGAGAAGATGATGGAATGCTATGGTGACATCGCCGAGATCAAGAGCAAGGGCGACAGCTATTAGTAAGTGATTCCCAGTTTTGCACATTCGCTCTTGATGCCGGCACGATGGTAGCAGGGGCCGCATTGCCGCCAGTGTTGGTTGATGATGGTCGGTTTGGGTGCGCTTCGTTATCCTTCAACGGACAATGAAGTGCACCGAGATCAGTTGCTTATCTTCTGGCCGGCGGCTGTGATGATGCAACGGAAGCCACCATGTATTGCCATACACTGTCTTTCTCGTCTACCGCTCGCGTAATGCGATGTTTGTTATCTCGTCCCTTCACTATCGCTTTGTTCAATACAGAGTCGCTCGCTAACATCATCGCGTCTAGTCTGGTATCCTTCACTCAGCTTCAAAGGCAAATCATCGATCTTGCTACAACCCATTTCGTTCACCTTCCAGTAAGGCCGCCGCCGGAGGATCTTGCGCAAGTGCCGTCCAACCTACCGTCCTTCCTTGGTGATAGCATTGCCTCCAGACAAGTCCGAACCGCATACATCGCCCACACTGTATCGAAGCTCATTACTTTCCGTGTCTTTGGCCCATTCCTGTTCAGTCTTGGACGCCGCTACGACAAAGCCGACTCTCTTTTCTCCTCGATGAGCCACCACATTCGCGAGAAGAGCACGCGCAAAGAAGCGATTTGGCGACAACAAACACTCCTTGCTGCTTTTACCAGCACTGGCGCGAAGCAGCGCATCAATACTGCTGCCGGAACCGTTGTCGAGGAGATCGTCAACGCTATCCGACACTTTGCTGATCCAAAAGAGGAGGAAGGCATCAAGATCGCCGTGAAGCGCATCGTGAAGGTCGCTGCGGAGACATGGAGATTTGCTCGTCTCGAGCGCGAAATGATCACCGCCGTCATGCCTGCGCTGCACGACGAAGAACATCAATTTACCAGCAACCAGTTCTGGCCAGCTTACAGCCCAGAAACAGGCTCAGCGACGGATGACCCACCTCCTCCTGATTCGCAACGACAATTGTTACTCAGGATCTTCCCGGTTGTATACCGCGAATCGAAGCACGAGATCTTCCAGAACAACGAAGAGCAGCGTGACGAAGGCTGCATTCTCCACCATGGGCTGGCTCTGTATGATGATGCAGAGCCAGTTGTGACGAGAATGGAGGAGCTCAAATCTGCTGGTTTGCCTCCCCATACCACTGCATTAACGAGTCCGACTGACGAGGGCAAGTTTCCGCCGCCGGTACGTAACACCACCCGCGTGTTCACCTTACCCCAGCGTTCCTAGCACCGCTTTCGAGCTTCCTTCACCCAGCCTCTGACAGGCTCGCGATATATCGAGATCTACGTAAGATGAAAAGACTGCTTCAGATCACTTGGCTAACACGCTGGCTTTCCAGGCTTGCCCGCCTCCTCGCGACCCGATACCACCTCCCCCCTCTCCCCCCGCCCCTCGATCTCCGACGAAAGCCGAGACGAATACGGATGAGGAATCTCCAGTGTCACGTCCGATGTCACCGGAGAAGCCAGAGAAGCCCAAGAAGCTCTCGGCTATCGAGCGAGCGTTGAACCTCTTCTCTAATCCTTCCTCGGATGACAAGATGAAGCCTCCACCTCCAGGCTCTACCTTCTCACGTCCGCCGGCGCCCCCGACGTCCGTGTTTACGTCGCCCAGGAACTTCATTGGCATGCCCGTCGAGAGTTTGGCTCCCTCACATGCTCCGAGTGCAAGGAAGAAGCCTCCACCACCACCGCCGAAACCTGCGTCGAAGCCTGACATACCTTCAACGGCTGCAGAAATCGCGGAAGCCATACGCCATCGCCAGTCTGTGGAGAGCGCGATCCTACCGCCGTCCTTCTCACGGACTACGACGGATGACACTATCCACGAGCATCCCGATTCGCGAGCTCCTACGCCGGTAGACACGGTATCTCACATGTTCGATGCCATCGATGAGATCGAAACGCTGGTGCCCCAACGTACGCGAACTACGTCGACCTCTACCACGCATTCGCGACGCCGCTCTACGCACACTCGCCGATCTACCGAACACGCCATCGAGGACGAGCTGTTTGACATCACTCCTCGACCGGATCACACTCGCAGAAAGAGCGGGTATGCGGCAAGCATTCGCACGACCAAGTCTGCCGATACCGAGCGCACAGATCGAAGTGAGCGCACCGACAAAAGTGAGCGCACCGATAAGAGCGAACGTACCGAGAAGAGTGAGCGGACAGACAAGAGCGAACGAACAGACAAGAGCGAGCGAACCGAGAAGAGCAGCCGCAGCCATCGGACAGAGAAGAGTGACCGTTCGGATAAAACCGAGCGCGAAAAGGCTCGTTATGTGTACGAGACGCGTGGTGCTGCTATGAAAGCTCTATATCCCAACACTCCGGTGAAGGGCTCTCATGGCAGCGCTAGACACTCCGAGAAGAGTGTGAAGAGCGAGAGAAGGAAGGAAAGAGGCAGCAAGGACTCAACCAAAGAATCGAACTTGACGAGAGAATCCCGAGAGTCGAGGGAGGCCAAGAGAGAATCACGAGAGGTCAAGAGACAAAGGAGTATCTCCGATGCTGGCACATGGGATACCAACAGCATCATGACTCACGACTTTGCGCCTACGACCATCACGACCAACGCACCCTATCCTTTCATGTACGACTCAAGACGAGACTCGAAAGAGTTGAAGCGAGAGTCCAGGGAGATACGGCGGCAACGCAGCATCTCTGATGCTGGCACCTGGGACACGAGCACTGAGATCAGTCAGCGTCCCCCACCGACCACGGTCTCGACCAACGTTCCTTACCCTACAGGAATGCCTTGGGAACTGAAGCGATCACGAAGCATTTCCGACTGCGGTACCTGGGACACCAGCAGTGAGGTCACTCAACGTGCGCCTCCCACAACCGTATCGACCAATGTGCCCTACCCTATGGAACAACACGTGGACGAGTCGGAACGATGGTCTATGCCACCACCTCGCAACTCAATGAGGATGGAGGTCTCCGACGATGAAGTGTCTGACACTGGGACCTGGGATACCAACACTGAGATCAATACCCACCGTGCTCCCCCTACGACCGTGTCTACGAACGTGCCCTACCCTTCCTACAACGCTCCTTCTACAATTATCTCTACCAACATCCCTCGTTTCACACAGCCTCCTCGACAGCTACGACGACCCAGCGTGTCCGACGATGACGCGTCTGATGATGACGTCTCCGACACTGGGACGTGGGACACCAACACCGAGATCACTACTCATCGCGCGCCTCCCACGACCGTCTCCACCAACGTCCCCTACTCAAGCATAATGCACCGCCAGCTGAGAAGGCTGAGCGGCAGCGATACCGGCACATGGGACACCGCTAGTGAGGTCACTCAGCGTGCGCCTCCCACAACAGTGTCCACCAACGTCCCCTACCCCTCCGCGCAATTCAGCGACCTTGGCCCATCGAGCTACCCACCCGGCCCCTTCGAGCAGCTCAAGCGAGTCGAGCAACTCCGAAAGCAGCACGAGCACCACAGTTTCTCTGACGACGGGTCTGACTCCGGCACCTGGGACACAAGCAGTGAGATCACTCACGCTAACAACGGGCCTGCTACTGCTACGCAGGTGTCCCAGAATAAGTCCTACCACCGTTCTGAAAGGCCAAGGGCACCAAGGAGACAGACGAGCCCGGCTATTTCCGAGGCGGGGACGTGGGATACCAACAGTGTGATTACGAATAACGATATGAAGACGACTGTTTCGACGAATGTGGGGTATGCTTCTGAGCGAAGATCTCGATAGGTGGATGCGAGCATTGTGTGTGAAGACGGTCTAAATGGTCCGCGTGACACGGCTTTTTTTCTATGAGTTACTGTTATTGCGCTTTGTTCCTTTTTGGTTTCGCTTTATGCGTATGGCTGCAGCTACGCAATATCGTAGGAGCACACGTTGATGATGCAGATGAAGGATGAACACGAGTGAGGATATATATGGATTACGGCCGAGCAATGCATGATGAAGAGAGTCTCGAGATGGTTGCATTTCTGTAGCAGGGCGTTCTGGTTCCTTGCTTGTTTGATTCGAAGTAGATGAGCTTGTAAGATAGTTATCATATCATCTGTTTTTAAGTGCAAGATACTGCTCTCATGATGAGAACGTGTGAAGAAGTTGGGGTGCCTTTAGTTGTGCCTGGCAAAGTCGTTGCTGTGATGCGTAACTCTTTACTCGATGTCAAAGGCTTGAAGTCTCCAAAACGTACTCTGGTCTAGAAACCGTGCTCTCGTACAAGCGGAGGTCGTGGTGATGCCGCCGCAGAAAGTGAAGGAAAGCTCCAAAACGCCGAGGCTAGCCCGAACATCAATCGCGCTCGAAGCTCAAGCTACCAAGACGCTCTCAAGAAAGTCCAACTCGCTATCCCAACGCCACAAACACCAATTGTCACCTCCTCCAACCGCGGCAATTCGCGTCAAACACCCAGAAGAACCATCGCCGAGCTCCAAAAATGGCAGAACCATCTCCCAACCCAGCCGTCGCAAACGCCGACATCGACCCAGCGCTCACAAATGGCGAGGCGCAACAAGCACCTACAGAACAACCCGCAGATGTAGAAATGGCAGATTCAGGCGCAGCACCAGCGGTAAGATCTCCTCACACACCACCCACCAAATCCTCACTAACACCCATCAAGCCCACGACCCTCGACGCCTCAGCCTCAACACCCACCCACCAACCCAGCGTACAAACCGTCCCGCCCACACCCTCCACCTCAACCCCAGCACCGCCCTCCGCACCGACTCTACCGACCGCTAACACTGCGCCAACACCGACACCAGCAGCCTCATCGCGCAACTCACCGCACCCCACTGCGCAAGCGCCCACACAACCCATTCCACACGGCAGTCCCACGCGGGTGTATCTGAACCAACATGTGACGCCGCATTTGCTCGAGGCGATGAAACATCTTGCTACTGCGGAGCCAGAGAAACCGTTGAAGTGGTTGAGTGAGTTTTTGGCGGGGAAGAGTAGGGAGATTGAGGGGACGTGATGGGCTTGTGGAGGAAGGCGATGGGGTAATGGTTGTGGAAAGAGGGTAGGATAGGATACTTAGGGTGAATATGAAGTAGCTATGTGGATGGGCAGTCACATGAGCAGCTTCGCCCAAACACTCCTGTACGAGAAGGAGACTGTCATGCGCATGCGCGTTTGGGCGATGAGCTTTGTGGTATATCTGGCAAGCTCGACTACTAGACGAGCAGCATGGTTTTGAAGGGCAAGCGATATGGAACGACTTCAAGCGCATGGCACATGTTCACCAAAAGTATAAGACGGCGTCAGGATGATACCCAAGTCAAGCAGCATTACAACAAGCAAATTTCAGACTTTGACACCTTCAATGCAAATTGGGTATATTCAACTGGAGGTGATGCTTTTGATTGATTCATTCCATATCGTGATCCTGCTAGGTATCCGCAAAGCATCCATGCCCGTGAAACTCCACTTAAATGTCTACCATGACGACTACCATCCACACCAATCCGACATCTGCTTATGCGACGAGGGTAGAGGCGGTGGCGCTCTCGTACCTCCAGGTAGGGGGGAGGGCACCGACGGTCTTGTAGTAGCGGGAGAGCTGGGGATGATCAGCACGTGCTCTTGTTATGGGGAGAGTCTGGGTAAACTTACACGGTGGATACGGGACTCGATGAGAATGAGGCGGAACTTGGAGTCGCGGTCCTTGCGGTTGGTCTGAAGGTGCTTGCGGACGGCAACGGCCTTCTTGATCAACATGTAGAGGTCCTCTGGGATGTCGGGGCTGAGGCCTTAAGCGCAAAATGTTAGCCTAGACCAACAAATGCAGTTTTTGTATAGCGCGCAGATGCTCACGAGGAGCAGAGCTGTGTCGACATGCGCTTTCATGTGTATAGGGCAATCGTACCGTTCGACTTGAGGATTCGGAGGATCTTGTTGCCGGTGACAACCTTGACCTGAGCGACACCGTGCGAGTCACGGAGGATCTCACCAATCCTGCGATTGTGTTAGCCGACTAACCCCGTGTGTATTTCTTTCCAAGCGATTGTCTTACTGAGATGGTGTAGCACCCTTCTTCGCGAGCTTGCAGATCTGGTCGACAACCTGCTCGGGGGTGGTCTTCAACCACGCCGGGGGGCTGCGGGAGTAGGGGATGGCGGAGGCTGATATGCCCTTTCCGTTGCTGTGAAGACGACCCATATTGAATGAATGTTCCGGATGGCGACCTGGTCGATTAGTACGGAGACGTGGTGGTGGGCTTGTCGTGGGTTGAAGTTCGCGATCGAAGACTCCAATTTCTCGCGGCTCGGCTAGGTCTGTGGTGGACCGTGCGTGGACTAGCGTCAAAGCTCCTGCCTGACAAAAAGTCTGCGACGTCCAACCTCGTCCTCTGCACCTCACGATGTCAAAACATTGACCTCGGCGTGCAACCGCGACTGTCTCGGCTATGTTGAAGCTAGATGATCGCGCATCAGATTACGATTGATATCTTTTCGGAATTGCTTACCCTAAGCCAGCTACAGCAGCTCACTCCCAACGTAAGTTCAACCCAGTTCCTCCCTTCCATCACAATGATGAGATCCAGTGCATTCGACGCCTCTTATTTTAGGCGGGGTTCTTCGGAACTTCGCCGGTGCATAAATCTCTATTCTGACAAGTGTCATCTCTGCTTTACTGCATGAAATCTTGCGAGCGACCAGTGCTGACAAGAACTAGATATACAGATCACCTCTACTTGCGCTTCCTCCTGTATCTACTACTTGGTATGTACTTCCGCTGTTCTCTTCATCGCACAATGATGACAACCCATACTTTTGGCACCTCTTATTTTAGGCACACCCGTAAGGGCGTTGCCAGTGCATTCAACTTATACTCTGACATGCGATCTTATCAACTTCTTTATTTACATGATACTTTACTGGCGACATGGACTTACAAGAAGCAGTTTTCAATTACATTAGGTTGTTGTCGCCTTCAGCCTCGGTCAGATCGCACTTTCTTGTTGACTCACGCGTACGCGGTTTCTCGTACACTGCTCGTGGCTTCCGCATGCTAGATGTCGTCACGCCATAGTCAAATATATCAATAATAATACATCCATGGATCCTATGCCAGCTCATCACAACCCTACCTCACTCCGACGTTTTCTTTCACGCTTCATACACATCCCGCAACCCATTGCTCGTACAATAGCCTCTTTCAATTATTCAGCATGAAGCATACAATACTAAGCGCAGTCATACTCCTCCCCCTCGCCTACAGCAGAACCGCCAAAGAGCTATGTCGCGGTACCGCTGAACTATCCTCTGATGGCAACTGGTACTGTTCTGAGGTCTGGGCCATCACCTACCGCAACATCAGCCAGCCTGGTGCCTACAATCGGACCACTACAGTCGATCCAAAGACTGGTATCTGTGGTCATGAACGTGTCGACTATCCTAGCGCAGGACCACTGACACCATTGTTCGGACAAGTATAGTTTGACTCGGGCTCCAGTTGTTACATCGCTGACAAGATCAGGTGTCCATGCACCTTCGCGGGCCGATGAACGTCTCTCAGCTCGCCGTATACCAACTACCTGGTGACGCGCGCGCTATGGGGAAGCGAACTACAGTACCTTTCTACAACCGTCGGCGATCGTTGGAGCAGCCAGAGACACCAGTGGCAACTACTATGCTGACACAGTCGACGTCTTCTGGCCGGCCCAACCTTTTCAACAGGGATGCATGCACCACATCGTCCAGCTGCGTCTCGACAACAGTGACAAAGACGGTGACCGTAAAGGCGCCCTGTTCCCCGACTGGTACTGCACAGTCTGGACCAAACACAACCTACATAGGTCCTCCACTGCCGTGCTTGCCCACGTCTGGTGCTCAATCGATCTCTGGCTCTACACTTCCAGATCCGAACTGTACTTGCGTTGAAAACGAAGAGCCCGAACCCATCTTTCAGCGACCCAATGGGCAGGTTTACGTCAGTCCGACGCCAACGCTAAAACATGCACCGGAAACATCATCGACACAGGACACGCTACCAGTGTCACAGCATCCAGATGGACAGCCCTTCGAGGTCCCTTCACCCTCATCATCATCACCGCAAGACACATTACCAGTGTCCCAGCGTCCAGACGGACAGCTCTTCGATTCCCCTTCGCCCTCACCGTCATCAACACAAGACATATTACCGGTGTCGCAGCTGCCAGACGGACAACCTATTCAATTCCCCTCGCCCTCGCCATCATCAATGCAAGGCATATTGACGGTGTCTCAGCGCCCAGATGGACAGCCTATCGTACCCTCGCCTTCACCATCATCACCACAAGAGACGCTACCAGTATCGCAGCGACCGGACGGACAGCCTTTTGATATGCCTTCGCCCTCGCCGTCACCTCCACAAGACCCATTACCAGTATCACAGCGTCCAGATGGACAACCTTTTGACATCCCTTCGCCCTCGCCATCGCCCGTCTCGAAGAGGCAGGGTTCAGATTGGAAGCGGATAGCATACTACACGTCTACATCACCGGCTCAAGCCACCGGGCTCAGCTTCATGGCCAACCTGGGTGATCCCCAAAAGTCTGGTACTTTTGACTAGTGAGTATTTTCTCGTTCCATAAGTTTCGAAGCTGACATGTTCAGTGCATTTGGAAACTCGCTCAGCTACGTCACTCCACGGGGTGACAAAGTAGCGGCTGAGAGTCAGCCGTTCGAAGGCACGCTAAAGACGTCTGAGAACGAGATCGTGGTCCTTTCCGATAAAGAGTGTGACGCAGACTGCCCGTACTGGAGACCAGACGCGACATCTCACTACGGCTGGTCAGGCTCCTCAAAAGCCTTCTTCATCGAATTCCAAATGGACCACTACGACAACATAGGCACGGACCAAGGCCTCCTCTCTGACGCCCCAGCCTACTGGTTCCTCAATGCAGCCATACCTCGCATCCTCCAGTACGGCAACGACCGCAACAACATTCCCTGCTCATGCTGGTCAACGGGCTGTGGCGAGTTCGACGCATTCGAGCTTCTCAGCAAAGGCGCCGAACGCGCAAAATCGACGATACATCGGCAGGGCAATCTGGAGGGTGGTGACTCCAACTACTTCAGCAGACCGGTAGGGAAGAAGATGAAGTTTGCGGTTGTTTGGCACTATCCACACATTACGGCATTGGTGTTGGACGACGACTTTGACTTTTCAGAGAGCATGTCAAATGATGCGATTCAGAAGTTGGTGGCATACGATCCGGATAGCTAGGTGCATTCTCTGTATGCTATTGGGGACTGAGGTGGATGTTTTTTAGGCCTGGAGGATTGCGATATTCGTGTGAAGACATCTTACATGCAACCATACACCTAGCAGTACAACCGAAGTGCTCTTGCACAAGAAGACCATTTTCTTTTGTTCCCGATGCGTGAGACTGGCGACCGAGGCAGGCTCACACGTGATGTAACAATCATCTGAAGACGGACATGGGCGATGCAGCGGAGTGGGCCGGCGATTGGGGTGGTGGCAAGCTGACGGATAGGCCTGCCCAAGCGGGCACGAGAAACCGAGGTCTGTTCGCGACTCAAGCGTCCGTGAACGACGACCAGCCGCATCCCGGCCGACGACACTGCGCATCTACTCATCGCCTCCATTGCCGTCTACACCCAACGTCGCGTCTTCGCATCTAAACCATCGCCCAACTTACTGCTCGCGTGCAGCCACCGTCGACGCGGATCCGCCCCTTGAGCGATTGCCAGTCTCGGCCGGCGCAGTTTCCCCGCAAAAACTCGCTGCCCCGATCGCCGCGAATTGCCAGCCTCTCGACGTTTGCTGACGACATCCGCCATCGTCTCTGCAAAGTCTCTTTCTGTACTGCGCACATAGCGCGGAGGAGGCACACACGGAAATATGTCTGCGCCATCGCCGCCAAAGCCCTGGGAGACGAGCAACGGCGCGACGAGTGCCTCGGTTGGTGAGTCCGCCAGCCATCCGATACGTCAGGGACACCGCGACTAACAACAACACAGGCCTCACTGGATCGAATAGCAGCACAGCACCCACCTCAACAGCCACATCCTCGAGTGCGCCTCCATTACCATCCGTACCAGACTCACTCAGCACCGTCGCGAACCGCAACGCGTCCAACTACTCGAGCATGAACAACCGATACGGCTCCCCCTACAGCAGCGGATATGGTGGAATGAGCAGCTACAGCTCGCCCTACTCCAGCATGGGGGGTGGCTACGGCTCCATGTACGGTGGAATGGGCGGTATGGGTGGCATGTACGGCGGCATGGGAGGTATGGGCATGGGCATGGGCGGAATGTACGGCGGTATGGGAGGCATGCAGGGCGACCCAAACAGCAGCCTCACACAATCATTCAGCCAGAGCACAGCAGCGACCTTCCAGCTGATCGAGAACATTGTCGGCGCATTCGGCGGCTTTGCCCAGATGCTCCAGAGCACATATATGGCGACACATTCGTCGTTCTTTGGTATGTCCACCCCTTTACAACTTCCAGCGATATACTAACATCAACAGCCATGGTCTCCGTCGCAGAGCAGTTCGGAAACCTGCGACAAACGCTTGGCTCGGTATTGGGCATCTACACAATAATGCGATGGATACGGACGGCAATCGCAAAGCTCACCGGACGACCCCTACCAGCAGATGCGACCGCCCTCACCCCCGCGAGTTTCGCAGCCTTCAATGGACGTATGCCCGACGGCTCGCCAGCTCCCGCAAAGCCTTCCAAGAAGCCATTCATTGTTTTCATGCTCGCCGTTTTCGGTCTCCCCTACCTAATGGGCAAACTCATCAAGGCGCTTGCGAGATCACAAGAAGCCCAAGAGCAACAGAAGATGCTCGAGAACCCACAGGCCGGACAGCCTCTCGACCCCAACAAGCTCGAATTTTGCCGCGCGCTTTACGACTTCACACCCAACGCCAACATGCACGCAATGGACTTGTCAGTGAAGAAGGGAGACATGGTCGCGGTGCTCAGCAAGAGCGATCCCATGGGCAACGCATCAGAATGGTGGAGGTGCAGATCAAGAGACGGACGCATGGGCTACCTCCCAGGCATCTACCTCGAGCCTATTCAACGCAAGACACCAGCACAGATTACCAGCGGAAGCCAGAGCGGAAGCCCAGCTGGCAGCAGAACACAAACAATGACGAACAGCAGCGCCGCGAGCAGGACTGCCACCATGACCGGAGCTCCAGTACCGGCACCGGAGAAAGTTGCCCCGAAGGTGGATAGCAAGGCGGGCGATATGGGCGTTGAGAGTTTCCAGAAGGGCGCTTTTTACTCGTAGGCTTCGAGTGTCATTCTTGAGCGTATTCTTCTTGGTTCTACATCGCGTTTCTAGTAATGATTTTCGTTGCAGTGTCGTCTGCAGGTGTGTATAACTTGGCTAGGAAAAGCTACGGTATGGCGGGCGTATGGCGCGAGAGATATCATGGGTCAACACTATTTCAAATACTCAACAAAATATCCATTACCAGCGATGGCTCAGATTCATGTTGCTACACAGTGTTGAATGTTGATAGATAGGTACTCCCCAATGCGAAACATACTTCTACGTCAATGACGATTTGGGTGGATGCGGTATACACTACAGATATCTCTAGTGCCAGCTAGTATTGAAGAGCATGGTTGGTGAACTATGAGGATGCCTAGATGGCATAGCAAAATGTACCTGGATAGCCGCGTTCCGCCCTGGCGCGCCGCGTGAACCAACCTTCGCAACAAAGCCGAGCACCGAGACATCAGGCAGCGACCGCGCAAACAATTCACACACCCTATCACCTCTACCTCGTGCCTTCTAGCGTCTTTCCTGTCGCTCACTCCAATTCTACGATCGAACTTTCCGGCCGCTTCTTAATCCTAGGCTGCTACCTGATACGCGCGCGGTTGCCCCTCCCCCACACGTTGTCCATTCCATCTGCAGGGTCGCAGCTTGTCCATAAGCTTGTGAGCTGTTCAGCTACCTCGGAACGAAGCTACGATACACGTCATTCACTCTGAGTCCGCCCAGGATACATTGTTAGCTACATATACCTACGCGTACACCCCAGGTTGAGAGGCGCGCTGCTGCTGCACATCTCGAGATGTTCGCGTCGAAACGGTTAGGCAAGGTATGTCTTCTTGGTCTTGAGTTCTGAGATAGAGCTTGAGTGCAATGCGATATATGTAAAGATCTAGAAGCTAACGAGTATAACAGGAGCTCGCAAAGGTACCGTAATCCTCTCGTTTATTGTTCGTTGCCCGTCGGAGCACATTGTCACTCGTCAGACGCCTATAAACTCCACGTATCGACGCGCGGAAGCCTACACACACAATATGGCCACGATGTGAAAGCAACGGATATGGAAATTCACACACGGAGGAACAGAACCGCTAACACAACGGCGTATAGATGCACGACAAACTCCCGCCAGGCATAACTCTCATTAAGGCTGACGACTTCCAAACCTGGCTCATGGACATTCAAGTTATGGACTCGAATCCGTTGTACCAGGGCGAGACGTATCGATTGAAGTTCAGCTTTACACCGCAGTATCCTATTGAGGTACGTGTTCTCTTTCTGTACTAACTGCTTACTACCCAGCATCCTACCCTCCCATTCCTGCGCCCACCTAATATCCGCACCCTCCCCCAAACCAAACCTCGCTAACCCTCGTTCTAGGCCCCCGAAGTAATCTTCCTCCGCGACGAAACCCACCCCATACCCTGGCACCCACACATCTACTCCAACGGCATCATCTGCCTCGACCTGCTCGACCGCTCCGGCTGGTCCCCCGTCCACAACGTCGAAAGCGTGTGTGTCAGTCTTCAGAGTATGCTGACGAGCAACACGAAGAAGGAGAGGCCGCAGGGAGATGACAACTTTGTGAGGTATAACACTCAGCGGCCGAGAGATATTAATTTTGTCTTTCATGATGAGACGGTCTGAGGGGTATGGAGGGAATGGGGTACGTCTTTTTGGGAAAGAGGGATTAGACGACTAAAGCATGGAATTGGTGTTTTGGGCGTTCATGGCATGGTGAAGGGCGGAGGGCATGGGATTGGATATGACGTAACGGCTGGTCTCATGACTATCGAATATGGAAAGCAATACTCGGTGTGCAGCCTTGAATTTTCTCCTTCAACTTGTAGAAGTCGCTCGCTATTGAGGGACATACTGTCGTCTTTGATGCTACTCCTACCAAGCAGTACGGTGTATCGCTGTCAGAAGCTCGCAATAAGGGACATGGTCATCTTACGAATATAGCTTCTTGGTTGTATTGTGAAACGTATAACTTCCACCAGCTTGCCGTCTACATCATGTCCTCCAATCAAGCTACCTTCCATTTCGAACCATGTAGTCTTCACTACACTTTTTTAATGCACAAAAGGTGGACAAAGGAGGAAGGAAAGGGCTGATACCACTGCGCATCTCGCAACGACAACTTCAGATGCGCTTCTGACCTTGCGACATATCTAGGAAGGCTGAGCGACAAGGACGCGGTTGATAAATATGAAGAGTGGTTGTCGGCAACAGTCGGATGATGGGCATGGCGAAGACATGGATGTGACGGTATGGCGGATTTTGTGATCGACATGTACATGCAGGGCAAGCAGTACGTAGTATAAGGTTAAGAAAATATTCCAAATATTTCACCACTGCCAATACCGGCCGGCGACGACATCTCCATCTACACTGCGCATTATTCACATAGTGCTCCAAGGTAGCCCCCTCGGCAACTCTATTGCGATGTAAAGACCAACTTCTCGATCATGAATCTAGCTCTTTGACGAGGCAGCCTTCTACTCTTCCTAAGTGTCGATCACAAACTTCTTGACATACCAGTGATGTTGGAACATGCCTATTGTCTCCAAGCCAGTCAGCTGATGTGACACATTGAACTCATCCTCGCCGTGTTTACATCCACTCGTGTCAGTCCATTCTATCTCATATTTCCAGTAGTTACCGCACTTACGCTTCATAGCTTCGCATGCTGCCCACGCATCATGCGCCGTGCCCAATATCTTCGTTTCGACGATGATGTTGTCACATTCGTCGATGGCCAGGAAGACAGTGTTAGCAGGGGTTATAGACGTGCCAACTATATCGCTGTGCTGGAGGACGATTTTGATGTCGCTATCGTCGCCAACGCATCTTATAACACCGGGCTCAGAGTTATTAGGTACTCGGGCACAACGTGGTGTAATCTTTTTGACAGAGGCGACGGCTAGGGCAGGAGTGGAGAAGACGCCGACCACGCGGGGGGTGAAGGTGGCGGAGAGTTTGCCTTCGATGCTGACAACGTAGTAGGGTTGGGTGCGAGGCATCATGGTTTGTGGTAGTTGGTGAGATGATTGCACGGGATCTCTGAGACTAGGGAAGTAGATATAGAAGAGGGGTTGGAAAGACCTTGAAAGAAAGATCGGAAAGTATCAAACCGCGAGTTACAAACATTAGTATGACGGCTCCAGGCGCATCCATTGGTAGAAGCGTTACGCTGGTCATGGAAATAATCTATCGCGAAGATCGTCGTGGTCTTTGTTCCGGAACCCATGGACACGAGGAGAAGGGCAATAAATTGGTCCATTTATGAAGACGACGTCTCAAGTAAGCAATCTGGTCCACTACGCTGGAAACCTACCGTGATACTCAACACCCCAAAAGTTCCTGAGATCATATTGCTAGACGCATACCGGGTAAGCTCCCTGAGCTGGGGCGGATGTAAGCCACGACGAAGATAACCAGAATCTTGGATCTTGCGGCCATTGATTTGACCCGAGGTGGCAACACGATGGCCCAACTTCAAGAAAGGCTTGTTGGGGTCAGTCTGCTAGACGACTACCGTACTACTCAATGTTCCAAAGCATTTTCAGATGATAGCGCTGGGCGTGTACCGGCGTGGGTTGACAAGACTGAGGACGATATGGGCAGGTCTTGTCTCAAAACCTCCCACTAGCTGTCAAATCTTGGCTGCGGGGCACCTTCTCAATGTCACGGTCCGGACTCTTTTCTTTCTCAGCGGGCCGAGGCTTGAAGATATATCGATGTTGGATGGGTGGTTTTTCATTGAGTATCGATAAGCGCCGCGCCAGGTTAACCGAGTCTGCCTAGCGTCATTCGCCGACACTACGAGAGATCCCTGCCAGGCCAATTTTTCTCTGATCGCTCGCCTTTAAGCAAGCGCGAAAAAGATTCCCAACCCTCTTTTCCACCTTCTCTCCAACACCTTCCTGCTCTTCAATTTTTCAGGTTGTTCCTTATACACATACCGCAATCATGAGCGACGAAGTCTACGAGGGTGCCATCGGCATCGATCTTGGTGCGTAAATTTCGCGAATTACCCCACAGTGGGATGCGTGTGTGCTAACAATATCGCAGGCACCACCTACTCTTGCGTTGCCAACTACGAGGGCACCAATGTCGAGATCAGTATGCGCCCGCCACTCCTGCACTCAGAGACCATTGTCTAACAATGTTTGCCCACAGTCGCCAACGAGCAGGGTAGCTTCACCACCCCCTCGTTCGTGTCCTTCACCAGCGAGGAGCGTCTCATCGGTGAGGCGGCCAAGAACCAGGCTGCTATGAACCCCGAGAACACCGTCTTCGATGTCAAGTGAGTTCTGCCGTTCCATCGTCGCACGCGCGCGATCAGCCGACTGACTTTCGCAGGCGTCTCATTGGTCGCCGATTCGAGGACGAGACCGTCACAAAGGACATCAAGTCATGGCCATTCAAGGTCGTTGACCAGGGCGGCAGCCCTCTCGTCGAGGTTGAGTACCTCGGCGAGACCAAGCAGTTCTCTCCCCAGGAGATCTCTGCCATGGTTCTCGTCAAGGTAAGATCTGCGCACACACCAGCATGGCGGGGCAATGGCTAACAAAATCAACAGATGAAGGAGGTCGCTGAGACCAAGCTCGGAAAGAAGGTTGAGAAGGCCGTCATCACCGTTCCTGCCTACTTCAACGACAACCAGCGTCAAGCCACCAAGGACGCCGGTGCCATTGCTGGCCTCAACGTTCTCCGTATCATCAACGAGCCTACCGCCGCCGCTATCGCTTACGGTCTCGGTTCCGGAAAGTCTGACAAGGAGAGGAACGTCCTCATCTACGATCTCGGTGGTGGTACTTTCGATGTGTCTCTTCTCCACATCCAGGGTGGTGTCTTCACCGTCAAGGCTACCGCCGGTGACACACATTTGGGTAAGTTCTGGCTGCACGCTAACCTAAGGAGAAACTGAACAGCCTGGAGCCTACGTTGACTTCAGGTCACCTCTTTTGCAAGGTTTTGGGTCAATGTAGTCTGCAGACCTGTTCAGTTTTTCCCTTGTATAAGGTGGCTGCACAAAGTGCATTTGAGACATATACTGACTTCGTTGCAGGTGGACAGGACTTCGACACCAACCTCCTTGACCACTTCAAGAAGGAGTTCACAAAGAAGACTAAGAAGGACATCAGCGGTGACGCCCGTGCCCTCCGTCGTCTCCGGACTGCTTGCGAGCGTGCCAAGCGTACCCTCTCCAACGCCACCCAGACCACTGTTGAGATCGACTCGCTGTTCGACGGTGAGGACTTCAACGCCAACATCACCCGTGCTCGTTTCGAGGACTTGAACCAGAAGGCCTTCGCTGGCACTCTGGACCCCGTTGCCCAGGTTCTCAAGGACGCTGCCATCGCCAAGGACAAGGTTGACGAGATCGTCCTTGTTGGTGGTTCCACCCGTATCCCTAAGATCCAGAAGCTCCTCAGCGACTACTTCAACGGAAAGAAGCTCGAGAAGAGCATCAACCCCGATGAGGCCGTTGCCTACGGTGCCGCCGTCCAGGCTGGTATCCTCTCCGGAAAGGCCACCTCCGCCGAGACTGCCGACCTCCTCCTTCTCGATGTCGTTCCCCTCTCCCTTGGTGTAGCCATGGAGGGTAACATCTTCGCCCCTGTCGTTCCCCGCGGTCAGACCGTCCCTGTACGTATCGCCGTCACCAGATGACTTGGCATTCGCTGACTTTTGCACCCAGACCATCAAGAAGAGGACTTTCACCACTGTGGCCGGTTCGTACACCCGAGAACATTCTTTGACGAGACACATACTGATTGTGGACAGATAATCAGCAGACTGTTCAGTTCCCCGTTTTCCAGGGTGAGCGTGTCAACTGCGAGGACAACACCTCTCTCGGAGAGTTCACCCTCGCACCAATTCCTCCCATGGTATTTTGAATCGTCCCCAATTTCCACGCACATTTACTGACTTTTCTCCAGCGCGCTGGTGAGGCCGTCCTTGAGGTCGTCTTCGAGGTCGACGTCAACGGTATCCTGAAGGTCACCGCCACCGAGAAGACCTCCGGCCGCAGCGCCAACATCACCATCTCCAACGCTGTCGGAAAGCTCTCGTCTGCCGACATCGAGAACATGATCAACGACGCCCAGAAGTTCAAGTCCTCCGACGAGGCCTTCAGCAAGAAGTTCGAGTCAAGGCAACAGCTTGAGTCCTACATCTCCCGCGTTGAGGAGATGATCTCCGACCCCACCACATCCATCCGCCTCAAGCGTGGACAGAAGGAGAAGATCGAGTCTGCTCTCTCTGACGCCATGGCTCAGCTCGAGGTTGAGGACGCCCCCGCTGATGACCTGAAGAAGAAGGAGCTTGCGCTCAAGCGCACTGTCACCAAGGCCTTCTCCACCCGATAAGCGCATCACATGACAGCAGCGCCACAAGGGCGTGCAGGAAGGAAGGAAGGGCGCACGTGCAGGATACCCAGACTGCGAGCTGCGAACGGAGTTTCATCTATTGCGGCATTTAACGATAGACTTGGTGTGTTTGGTTCCTTATCTTTCATGGGTTCCCGGTATTCAGGAACGCGGAAAAGTCTTCTTTGTACTTTCACGACGATGCCTGACGAAACGATCGTAATGGATGTTCTGCAAAAGTATGCCAGCGGTCAATGTCTCTTATGTAACTCACGAGGTAGCTACATGAAGAGAGTGGAAAGGGAATTGAAATGACTTCACTGAATACACCATCGTTATGAATGTTGCTGTGACGACTACATTGCCGTATTTTCCACCGGTGGTCTTTGCGATGAGCAGCGATTACCTCCTGGCTCTATCATGATTCTGTACTGTGATACTCTTCGAACACACCTCGGATCACAACAGACTCTATCATGTTTAGTTCCTATGTGGCTATCGCTCCCACCGACTACCTCCAGGCTACATCATGATCAGCATCTCGACAAGATGATGGGCCCATGTATTCGGCAACTTTGCTAGCGCCCTTGACTGTGGTTCGTAAATCGAAGCATATACATGGTGGCTTCTGGAGGAAAGCGCATTCTCCATAGCATGACTTCTTCTTCTTCCTTTCCTCGATGTCGGCCAGCCATAGAAAGCTGCTGTTCCCACAACCCTCTCCTCGACCCTGTTGAGGGTGACCTCGACCTTACTAAGGAAGAGCTTGAGGAGCTTGAGGCTGCGACAAGGGCGAAGGACAAGGCTTACGCATCTTCATACGGTCGAGAGAAGAGAGCGAGCCCTACAGAAGGGTGGAAGGCCAGTCAAAAGGCCCGCAACGCAAAACAGTATCCTCAGACACGAGCCAAACAAGTCAAGGCGATTGAGGAGAAGACCTTCTAATGTTCCGTCTGCGATGTCGCATGTGCCGATGCTTCTGCTCAAGCAATGCACAATGGCACACCTAAATACATGGTGGCTTCTTCCGGGAGGAAGGCGCATTCTCCACAGCATGACTTCTTCTTCCCTTCTTCGATGTTGGCCAGCCATAGAAAGGAGGAGACACTGTTCTCAAAGAAGAGTGTTCATTAGGAGAGTCTACATCGACATATATGCGCTATCACGGCTACCACCACCTCCTTCTCAAGCCTTAAACCTCTGCTTCTCAATCGCACTGCCCACCAACCCCTCCCCCTTCACCACATTCGTCGCACAAACCACGATTCTGCTTCCCCTACCTTCGCCTCCACTCTCCTTCAACTTCTCGCCCACGAACCTCAGCGCCGCAATCTCAGCCCTCGTAACACCACCCAGGAAGAACACAACAATAGTCTTGTTCTTCTCACCTGCACTTCCATTCAACAGCTGCCGCACTTTAACAGCCTTCTCCTCGCCCTTCTGCGTCTCATCGAATGTGGCGCCGCGGATGTATTTGCTCGCATCGTCGAAGATACGGAGGCCTTGAGCGAGGGGGTTGGCTTGAGCGCTTGCGCGGGGGTCGGAGGGGGGTTTGATGGCGTTGGCGAGGGTGTGTTTCTGGATGATGGATTGGATGATGCGGACGCTGAGCGGTGCGTAGCCGGAGAAGGTGTAGCTGATGTCAT